ATTTCCACACAACTCTCTCTAAAATGTACCAGTCTTGCTGGGTCTTTCTTTGACATGCTAATTTCTCTGCTCCAGCAGACCCGCCTCTCTCTGCCCCACCCCCCTGTCTCTCTATTTAAGGCCACGACACAGGCATTGTGTCTCTATGCGTTTATGTTGTGTCTTTGTGTTGTGTTTTGTCTCTCTCTCAAATTTAGTTCTACCTATTGACGATTGCTTGTGTTGCAATCGAAACGTCGTCTTGTATTATTGAATATATTTTATTTCTACGTAGCTTTAGCGAAAGAACCAAAGAGTAATTATAAAACGTGTTTGTTTCGTTTGGGAAGATTACCTCCAGTCTGAGAAGACATTACGAGCATTACGTTAGATGCGAGCTTGGAATTACATTGCCAGACGGACAGAAGGCAATTTTTGCATTCTCTGGTCTCTCTCTCTCTCTCAGGTTTGGCAATCTTTGTAAGAACGTAGTCGGCCGGGTGGGGTGTTGACTGTTGTGTTGGCCGACTCTGTGTGGTATTGCATTGTTTCCGGGTTTGCTATGTTTGTTTTCTCATTCATTTATACCTGATGGTGGTTGCTTGTGTTGCAATCGAGACGTCGTATTCTATTGTTTTTTTATTTTATTTTCCGCGTGACTTTACCGAAAGAACCAAAGGGTAAATGGCTGTTACCGGAGGCGATTGCAGTGAAGTGGACGCGGAGGCTATAGCATCTCTGAAAGAAAACTGGTTTCAAGACTGTCCGCCTCGCTTACAGAGCTGCCTGTAGATCTGTCAGCTGACTCGTTATTGAGTCTGTGCATCAGTGGGGGTCGGCTCACGATCCCTGTGCTCTGTGGCGCGTCGTGAAGGGTCTGCTGCACTCCAATGACCCATCAACTTCTTCTTGGTTCTTTCGGTGAAGTCACGTAGAATGGAAATAAAATAATAAAAATAAAACATAATCAAATAAAATTCTCACGAGGTTTCGGCCACAACACAAGTAGCCTTCGTCAGGTTTTTTTTTTTTCACCTGAGGAAGGCTACTTGTGTTGTGGCCGAAACGTCGTGAGAATTTTATTTTATTATGTTTCATTTTGATTATTTTATTTCCATTCTACGTGGTGACTTTACCGAAAGAACCAAAAAGATGAATCCCTGCAGTCACGAAAGCTTTAAATCGAAATTTGTCCCATCGACTTGTCAACCCGGTCTGTAAACAGTACTTGTGACGTTCTTCGCCAATAAAATAGTTTCGAGCTTGAAGGCAACGCATTCTCCCGATTTTCCATCTGAGTTTGATCAACCTGGAACCAATGAAAAACTCGAGACCCTGGCACCAACCTCGGTGGCAGAGGTGTCGATGTTCAATGGACAGCTGCCAAATTAACATCGCTACTCGGATACATCTATACATCGATTTTCAAATCATGCACGGACGTGCTTGAACCGCTCATTGTCCACCTGGCAAAATCCTTCATTCAGTGAAGGCTGTTTTACAGGCCGGTTCAAAATGGCGCAGGTGACACCACTCCTGAAAAAAAGCTGGCTTGAGTCAGAGTGACTCGGCAAACTAGATCTCAAACCTGAGTACGATTTAAAAGGTCATAGGGAACCATTGAGGCGGTTACTTCCCTACATCACTGAAATGGGCAGATTCCACCTGTTGCAGTCTGCATACTGGAAGCTCCACAGCACTGAGATGGCTCTACTAAAGATCACTGATGACCTCTACAAGATCACGGATGACTGGTGCACCAGAGCATTGGTTGGCTTCGATCTCTCTGTTGTTGTGGAGTAACTCATGCAGCCAGCTATGGCTCTAGGATTTGGTGTTACATGTTATTTATGTAGTTAATTGTAAAAATTCGGTCATAGTCCCTGTGATCACTGTTACGTTGCAATTATGGCTTTATTTTTTGGTGATTTCGAAAAGTTTTTTGGTTTGGACATGTTTGTTTTGTTGTAGTACGGAGTTAGACTGATGGCCTTAATCTAAGTTTTCTTGTGGTTGTTGTTGTTTGACTTGCATCCCACTAGGATTTTTTGCACACAGCGTTGGTGTACGGTGCTTTTTTCAGGAATATTTTGCTGTTTTTTCATGGATTTTCTGTTTGCAGTCACATAGTCACTTTAAGATGGTGTTCTTGTTCGTGTTTTTTTGTTGTGGTTGCACCCGATTTAAGAGCCGAATGGCTCACAGGGCTATACCAAAATAAAGAAACTGAAACTGGTGAGACAAATCCATGAAGAAGGCTGCTGTCTTTGATGTTGGCCAATCAATTTCAAATTCAATGCGTAGATAACACTGTGTAACAAATTATTTTTTGTCCCTGGGTAGTAAGTGTTATTTTCACATTGCTTATGCCGAAAAAGTACAGAAAATGCATATTATTCCCCACGAATCTTTCTTTTGTGACCAGTACACAAACACAAAGTTAATCATTAATCTACTCCATTAATAACACTGTGTAACATTTTTTTTGTTCCTGGGTAGTGTTAGTTCTTAATTGCGTATGCTTTAAAAGTACAGAAGATGGCTTATTACCCACAAACCTTGTTTTTATGACCAGGACAGTGATATTTAGAAATGTATATGTTTTCAATTAGAAAACGTGGTGTTCATTTGTGTCATTCCTTCACGTTAAGCCCTGGTCACAAAAGCAAAGTTTGTGGGAAATAATGGCCATTTTCTATACTTTTTAGGCATAAGCAATTAAAAAAATAACTCTTAGTACCCAGGGACAAAAATCGTGTTACATAGTGTTATCAGAGCATTGGTTTAACACGTAGGCTTTCTCGACCAAAATTATCCATAATATAGGTTTTTAGGGTTAGATCACCTATCAGAGCATGTTTGTTTGCATGTTCACCACAAGTATTTGTAGTTAACGCAGGCTTGGGATCTTGCAAAATGTATCTATTTGGTGTTTGGCATCATAACACCTCGTGTTTATTGCCAGAAAGGGTAAAATATAATCGTATTACTGTTAAAACGTCGGTTTGAGTGTCATGCTACGAACAGTGCTGTCATAAACAGGGCAGATGGGAAGGTGCTGCCCTCTACCGCGCTGAGTTGAGGTCACGCAACCGAAGGGTTCTCAGAACTAGCTCTGTGGTATCCTATTTAACTATTTTTTATTTTACCAGGTAAGGCCTACGTAACTGTTTTTCAGAAGCGACCTGGCCACAAATGATAGCTCAACGAAGTGGCTTATCACGTGGACATTTATAGCAGCCAAATAATCGAAACCCGTGTTTCAAAATGTGGATGGAAAACCCGGAGGACCCGGAGAAAAATCCACGTGACCATGATGGAGAGAGAGAGACACGCAAAACTCCAAATATACAGCAGGCGTCAGGGCCGGATTCGCACCCACGACCTCCTGTATACCAGGCAAAAGAGTTAACATCTCCTAGCCACCATGTTACCCCGTTGGCCTTTCTCTTTGTAACACATAGCGTCGCAATGGGGATACAAATGGGGTGAGAAATTACTTAACAAAACTACATACAGTATTACGAGCGTTGTTGATCGAGGTTAATGATATTGGGAGCTTTTATACTGCTAATGACTCTGGTAACCTACGCGTTGACTTTAATAACGTATCAATGTTGAATACGGTTCAAAAATACGAACGATAGCCCATACATCACTTGAACTTAAAACAAAAGATTAGTATCCTGTCTGACGTTACATAATAAACTGGACTTCCATGGTAAACTTGACTCCCATGGAAACTGGACTTCCACGGTAAACTGGATTCCCATGGTAAACTGGACTTCCATGGTAAACTTGACTCCCATGGAAACTGGACTTCCATGGTAAACTGGACTCCCATGGAAACTGGACTCCCATGGAAACTGGACTCCCATGGTAAACTGGATTCCCATGGAAACTGGACTCCCATGGTAAACTGGATTCCCATGGAAAACTGGATTCCCATGGAAACTGGACTCCATGGAAAACTGGACTCCATGGAAAACTGGACTCGCATGGAAACTGGACTCCCATGGAAACTGGACTTCCATGGTAAACTGAATTCCCATGGTAAACTGGATTCCCATGGAAACTGGACTTCCATGGAAAACTGGACTCGCATAGAAACTGGACTCCCATGGAAACTGGACTCCCATGGAAAACTGGACTCCCATGGAAACTGGACTCCCATGGAAACTGGACTCCTATGGTAAACTGAATTCCCATGGTAAACTGGACTCCCATGGTAAACTGGATTCCCATGGAAACTGGACTTCCATGGAAAACTGGGCTCCATGGAAAACTGGACTCGCATGGAAACTGGACTCCCATGGAAACTGGATTCCCATGGAAACTGGATTCCCATGGAAACCTGGACTCCCATGGAAACTGGACTCCATGGTAAACTGAATTCCCATGGTAAACTGGATTTCCATGGAAACTGGACTTCCATGGTAAACTGAATTCCCATGGAAACTGGACTCCCATGGAAACTGGATTTCCATGGAAAACTGGGCTCCATGGAAAACTGGACTCGCATGGAAACTGGACTCCCATGGTAAACTGGATTCCCATGGAAAACTGGACTTCGATGGTAGAGATGACAATTGGCTAGTGATGACAAATCATTAAAGCCGCGTATTGTAATTGTATTTGGTAGAACTCACAAGAGAATCAGTTTCTTAAACTTGATTGAATGTCATAGTCCACACAAGCAATGGGTGTACACGTAGTGATTTTACGGCCCCCTGTATATGGAAACTATTAGAATACATTACACTTGGTAGACCACGCAGGCAATCGGTTATAATCCAGCCATGCTTAATCCACTGCTGGACGAAGGCCTCCCCAAAGTCGCCACTGGGTTTGCGATGACATATCGCAGACCCCATAAGCAATAGTATCGACAAGATTGTATTCCCCCATTCGATCTATGAAATGCAATCGGGGTCACTTGTATTTCATAGACCGTATGGAACACGGCTATTATGTTTCATAGAGCGTACTAACGGTATGAACGTGTGATTATATTTCATAGACCGTATGGAACACGGCTGTTATATTTCATAGAGCTTACTAACATAGGGCACGAAGGTTCGATTGCATTTCATAGAACGGGCACGCATGCTCACAAAAGGCGCGGAGGGGGGGGGACCGAAAGTGAAACCTATCGAGTAAGCAGCAGCAGCATCATCATCATCAGCAGCATCATCATCATCAGCAGCATCATCAGCAGATCCTTCTGAACGGCAAGGAAGAGGAAGTGTGGTGGTGTTGATGATGTGAGCGCACGTCCACCGTCTCGCTCCCGTGTTAAGACTTGCGTGTTCTAACGCGGACGCGGTAAAACAAAAAAAAGTTTATACAATTGCGACAATTGTGTTCTCGCGTTCATGTAATGGTGCGGTCTTTCGGTCATTCTTTGCTTCGCCGGTGCCTCCTCTGTCGGGGTTGTTTTTTTGCGAGGGAAAAAGCCGCGCCTCACAAGGTAAAAGAACAACGTCTATGCCTTGCCTTGTGTTTCGCATTGCGGTATTTAAACCACGGCCTTTCGTCCAGCAGTGGATCGATCAAGGCTGCTGCTGCTACTGCTGCGAATGATTATTCAACTACAGTTATACTATATTTGTGTTATATCATTAGAGTGCGTAAGTTGCGGTGTGTGTGTGGCGTGCGATGTGTTGGCCTAGTTATGATCTACCCACCGCGATGATTTATCCACTGCTACATGGTTTACTTTTTTACGCTCTTAACACACCGGTGTGACGTTGGACTAGTAACGAATTGTAATGTTTTGTTTACGCGACGAACCTTAGTAATTGGCTAATTGGTCGCGGGGTTTGACGACACATTTCCGCGATCTAACCCAATACATCCCTATTACACTATAACAGTAGTTTAACAGTACTTAAAACTGTGATGTTTCTACATTGAGTACAATATACGCACAACGTATAGTGAAATAACGCTGCCTTTAAACACAACATATATAATCGACGTTTCGGGCAGTACCCCCTTAATAGCAGTTGATTGACCGTGTACACGTGCTGTAACACACTATTTGTGATCTTACTGTTTATGTAGCGTACAATATGCCGCGTACGTAAATGCAAGTATAGAGTTGTTAATATTAACTTGCAAACATAGACACACGTTTGTTATTAACAGAGTACACGACAGCATATAGAGAAGCTGTATAAAAGCACACTCCTTTGGGAGTAAGTGCGTGCTTGCATGCGAAATGAGCTGGAATCACACAATCTGGTGCCTTCGACATTTAGTATAATAAAACACAACTTGCACGTGTTAAGCTGTTAATACTAAATCATTAGCGTCAGCCATGATCAATCCACTGCTTGATGAAGACCTCCCCTTCGTCGCCGCCGTCGTCTTCCACGATTTTACAATGCGCGAATCTCGCCCCTGCGCAAAAAAAAACGAAAAATCAAAATCTTGTACGATACACATTACCGCTGAATGACGGGAAACGTTACCGCTATCATTTAGTGCTTGAACAAACTTTCTTAGCCTCTAGGCTCGAGAATACACTTGGAGCAAGTGCTGCTGTTAGCGAGTGCCTATTAAAGCCGGAAAAGAAAACCACGGGACGGACAGCAAATCCAGCACGCCCGGCCACCTTTGTCTCCCTCCCGCTGCTCTCGCCCGCACTCTACTCAAGGTACTCATTTGTAGACACATTTTTTTTCACGAGTTCCTCTTTTATTTGTTTTACCTCCACCCCCCCCCCCCAATTCTCAAAACATTTTGACCACAACTCGTCTGCGAACCGTACAGCATGTCCCCCCACATTTCAACATTGGGTTTCGTGCGAGGTGGTCGTACAGCGTAACAACAAGGCTCTAACATCCACGACTACAAGGCTCTAACATCCACGAAAGCTATATTCTTGGTTTCTTTCGGTAAAGTCACGTAGAAGGGAAACAATAAAATAATAAAAATTTAAAACAATAAAATTCTCACGACGTTTTGACTGCAACACAAGCAACCATCATCAGGTGTGAAAACCACAACAAGAAAATGTTCTTGTGGTTTTCACACCTGATGATGATTGCTTGTGTTGCAGTCGAAACGTCGTGAGAATTTTTCTTGTTGTGGTTTTCACACCTGATGATGATTGATTGTGTTGCAGTCGAAACGTCGTGATAATTGTATTGTTTTATATTTTTATTATTTTATTGTTTCCCTTCTACGTGACTTTACCGAAAGAACCAAGAATATGAATCCCTGCAGTCACGAAAGCTTTAAATCAAAATTTAAATCCACGAAAGCCTCAATCGTAAAAGGGAAACAATAAAATAATAAAAATATAAAACAATAAAATTCTCACGATGTTTCGACTGCTTGTGTTGCAGTCGAAACGTCGTGAGAATTTTTCTTGTTGTGGTTTTCACACCTGATGATGATTGCTTGTGTTGCAGTCGAAACGTCTTGAGAATTTTATTGTTTTATATTTTTATTATTTTATTGTTTCCCTTCTACGTGACTTTACCGAAAGAACCAAGAATATGAATCCCTGCAGTCACGAAAGCTTTAAATCAACATTTAAATCCATGAAAGCCTCAACCGGGTCTCAAGGCTCTTTTGACGAAGGATGTTTGTGGACAGTGCCATTTAACGAGTGTGTGGCGTGTTGATCGTAAGTCAGAGAGTACTTGGAGAAACCCCACGGATACGAATGGGTACTCTGATTGTAAATGTTGTCGTTTGGCTCTCCAACACACTGGTGTGATGTACTGGTGAGAATTGGCCACGTTCTGTTTACGTGACAACCCTTACTAGTTGGCTGTGTCGGGTGGTGGCGGGTTTTAACGACACATATTTAAAAACCTCTGCATGAATGCATTCGATCGACTTGCTTTGCTGGCATCTCCGGGCCACCCTAGCGCGTTAGCGGAGGGTTTTTTTGGAGATTCAGAACTACGAGGTGGTGGATCAACTCGTGCATCCTTGAAAGTGCTGGATGGCAGGCATTGCGTTGCCAATTTGTGACGTGGCCATGAAAGTGAGTCGTCATGTCTCATTTAAATGACTCGTTTTTGAATAACAACAAATCAAATTCATCATTTGACCTCCTTTGCCAGTACCAAAATATGAGAATAGGGTTTTTTTTTCTGGCAACAAATCAATTATATTCTGGGTTCTTTCGGTAAAGTCACGTAGAAGGGAAACAATAAAGTAATAAAAATATTATTTAGAAGGGTAACAATAAATAAAAATATTATTTTATTGTTTCCCTTCTACGTGACTTTACCGAAAGAACCAAGAATGTGAATCCCTGCAGTCACGAAAGCTTTAAATCAAAACAAATCTATTATAAATGTATTCTGTTGGCAGTGGCGTTCAAGTACAACTGATAAAAAAAACCTCACCGTGTTCATCATTAATGCTGCCTTATAACAAACATATGGACTGGCCTACCATGTGTGATAAGGCTGATATTAATATTTCCATAGAAGTGTGGTGGTGAGACAGAATCAGAATATTTATCCTGGAGAAATCCGATAAGCTATGAAGCTCTCTTTCATGTTTGACCTGAAAGGGCAGGTTCGAAAAGTGACGATGCATCTGTCCTTAACCCTAATCCCTGAACTACTCTCCATAACCCTAAAGCAATATAAAATAACAAGTTAATGACGAAAAAAATACATAGTTTTTTTTCACTATCACTAAAAGTAAAGGAGGTTTCAAATGACCGACCATCTATGTGAAATGCTGAGTTTTACAGACATGGAGACATACAAGAAATGGTGGATGGGATTTGGTGGTCAGTAATGGCAGGTTCGGTGATGAATGTTAATCCTTTTGGATTGCAGCTCACCAGATTGTGAATAGCTGAATGTGAATAAGCCTTTGCAAAGATGTGTAATACACGGTGTATGTGGGTGTATTGAGTCCTGCATCAGTGGTAGTGAATGGGTCTTTATGCGAAGGCAACCGTTTCAATATAACACATACCTTGTCTCTTTTGTACACAGCCGCTACGCAAAACACCAGACTCGTGACCGACATGGACGAGCGTCATCAAGGAAGAGGAAGAAGCGGTGAAGGCATCGTGAGGAGTTGTTTATCTCAGGACCTGTCGGACCCATACCACGCCACCTACCTGTCCTTCTACCTCCTGGGACTGGGCTCCCTGCTACCTTGGTACTTCTTCAGTACCGCCAAGGGCTACTGGGATTACAAGTTCAGTGGTGGCAACAGCTCCTCGGAACAATCGTCCAATTCAGATCTGCTCGTGAGTTTGGGGTTTTTTGGCATACGCGGTGCCCAGTCGGGGTTTTGCCCGACGCATCTCTTTAATTATTTTAAGCGGCTAAACATTCGCATTTTACAAATGAGTGGCTAAACTTGGCTGGTGCTAAGCGCGTACACGCAAAAACGAAACGGAACTCCTACGTCATGCAATGTTTTAAACCCCTTTTAAGCTTATAATTTCACAGCTGCTCGCGTGGAATAGTGCATTAACTGTTGGTATCGTGTTTAGACATGCACCCTTTCAATAGAAGAATATCTATACAGTAGGATACCGTTTGAGACAAAGGCTCTCATTCCTAGCAAAAGCAGGGCAGAAAGATCAGATAACGCTCGAGTTGGGGCCGATTCTTGCATCAGAATCTTACCCAAATATGCCTTTTTCATTTATGCACCCCCCCCAGTAATGCCGCGTAGCTATTGCAAATGAATCCCTTGGAAGACTCTCAAACATGCAGGCAATGAGGTGGTCATGAGAACGAAATGGCCAGTACAGCACCATAGGTTCATGGTCCCATCTATGCAAATCTCTGAATGTAATCCTTTTGAGTGTGTTGGGATTCCTCTTGGTACTCCAGTTTCCTCCCACAAGCATTAACACTCATTTGACATAATTGAGCAGACATTCCAATGCAGATGTACGTCCTTTTGTCGATCAACTGCTGTATGCAGGCCTCACAATGCCATGTCAGACTTTGGTTCTATTGGGTAAAGTCACGTAGGTGAACATAAAATAACAAAATCACGACGTTTCGGCCACAACACAAGCGGCCTTCATCAGGTGAAGGGACTAGACTGTCTGGAGGACAGCGCTGGAGTGAGAAAAGCCACGCTTGGATCACGACCTTTTTTTTCTTCTCACACAGCTTAAAGGTCGTGATCTGAGCGTGGCTTTTCTCACTCCAGCGCTGTCCTCCAGACAGTCTCGTCCCTTCACCTGATGAAGGCCGCTTGTGTTGTGGCCGAAACGTCGTGATTTTTTTGTTATTTTATTTTCACCTACGTGACTTTACCCAATAGAACCAAAGAGTATGGATCCTAGCAGTCACGAAAGCTTTAAATCTAGAAGCCATGTCAGTCCTTTAAAGTTCGTTTGCCCACACTTTCAACATGTTGGTCAGTGCGGGTTCGTGCATGGGGAAGACCAGGTCCGAATCATGTATCACTTGCCACTGATGTTAACCATGGCCGGAATTCGGATTAAGGTTGCCAGGTTCATAGTCCTGTACAGTGTGCGAACCACTGCACGACTACAGCTCCCATAAGTAGAGGGACTCCTCTACTTAGAGGGACTCCTCTACTTACGAACGAGTTAGGTTCCAGAGGTCTGTTCGTAAGTCGAGTTGTTCGTAAGTCCAACTTTACTCCTGTCGATTCAACACACGTTGTATGGCATGTACACTAAACACGGGGAATGGCTTTAAAAGTTCTATAATCTCCTGTAGATGTAGATTGCACTGGTTATTCATGTTCTGCGGATGTAGATGCCACCACCGCCATCTATTGCGTGGTGGTTGAGCTTGCGACTCTCGGTCCGAACAGGCAACTGGACATACGGACCAAGTTTGTTCGTATCTCTGACAGTTTTTAAGTTGAATGTTCGTAAGTCGAAGAGTCCCTGTAATGGCTGTGCATCGTTGACACAAAGATGTTACATACAACGTGATGCATTGTCAACGTTGTTCCCTGCACATGTGATTTGATTAAATGTATCATGAGCTGAAGAACTGATATGAATTGATGCATCGTTCCACCCTACTGCACATTGAGGATACATTTCTACTTCATTGCACATTAAACGATTGTTGTGCCATTCTTTTTTTGACGTTGTAATTAGACATATTTGGTCCTTTTTGGGTAAACAGAATTTCAACATGGGACAATGAACCTGAAAAAATAGTGTTCTACTTAAGCATCATTGGGGCTCTTGTAGACTTAACTTCCTTTCACAGCAGGTTACTATGATGCTTGGGATCCAATTTCATCGCTGTGTCTAATGCTTTTTTATTACTCCGTTACTGTAGAATTGCCCATTTAAGCAGAAAGCCTGCGTCAATTACCACTCGCATAACATTACTTATAATCTCTCCTTAGGATGTGTAGACAGGGATGTTCATGCTTCTTACTGCACTTCATTATTCTTGGTGCCATTTCACCGAGAAGCTGTATATGTGGAACAAGGTGTAATAGTGAGCACACTTCAGAATCGGAATGAAAAATCTTTCTTCGTACAGGGGGATTCCGATGAGCTGTGAAGCTCTTTTTTTTCTCACAGATGTCCAGTCGGGGCGGGTCAGAAAGTTATGACAACAAAACAATACAAAAACACGCTAGGAGTGCAAAGTGTAGGGAAGGTAAGCAAACCGCAAAAAAAACGTTTTTATTTTACCAGGTAAAGTCCACTTGGCTATTAGCTGCGTTTTCAGTTGTCGCCATTTTAATCTCCCAGCAAGGAAGTTGAAACAACTGCAATTTTCTTAAATCCCACACCTTTGTTCACCCAGCAGTATGAACGGGTGTCCCACAGTCGAATGGCATGTCGCGTGTGGTGGGGTAAAGTGTGGGTGCTCCCACATCTTTCAAGATGTATGGCATGGAAGAGTAGGCCAAACACCCTCTAGAGGTGCTGTCCAGAGCTCTCTCTAGTGGGGACCCCCCCCCCCCAGCACTACCACGAGCAAGATATTTCATGGCTGCACCTTTACCTGCAGTGGAGCATTTTGGGCAATAAATTAAATCTCCATGTAAACACGACGTATATTTTGTAATTAATCGGTGGAGTAGCCTTGCAAACGTACTGTATGTTAGCCAGCAGCGGTTGTTTAAGTAAGCAAAATCGAAAGCAGTTTCGACCTCCTGGGTCTCATCAAGCAGTTTTATTTAAAAAAAAAATATTTGTAATAGCCCTCTCAATAAACCATTAGCACAAAAAGCACAATTCGGTGTGTCCTTAAAACTGTCCTCATTGAGGGGTGGGGGTCCCCAATACATGATATTTGGTTTCTCACCAAATATATGAAAGGTAATAACGAACATCGCTGAAACTGTCAAAAATCGCAAGTCAAATCTGGTCTGCACAATCCAATGCCACAGTAGATTGTGCACAGCACAAGTACGAAACTGAGACTCCCCGGCACTTCCTGTTTTACGCAGTGTGGGAATGCAGCTAACAACTGGTATGCATCATTGTCCGCGGTTTGTTTTTAGAGCTTCTATTACTATTTTTGTTAAATTACTGCCCCCCCCCCCCCCCCAAGAACACATTTTACGTGGGACATAAAATATATGCGCGCACGATTACATTTTGGTGGTAAAACAAATAGTGCTTGTTAAAGTAATTCTGGATGGCCATGATTTTGAACCGTACCTTATTTTTTACACAGAGATATGGAGCAAATGGTGATTGATTTTGTTTACTTCTAGGGTTGCCCAAAACCCCAACCCACCAATCATCTCCATTCTGTTCACAGTAATGAACGGAGCAGTTCTCATTTGAGAATAAAGTGTCGGGTCACATTGAATGTTAGCATTTGTCACATCTAAACAAAAGAAAAATAATCGTAGTATTGTCATGGCGTAGGATACATATTACTCTTTGCCTCTTGCGAAGGGGATAATTAATCTCATTGGGCTCTCACATTGTTGAATAGGGAATATTAATTACAGAGTTACGTTCTTTGTTCATCCATTTAAAACGATCAATGTAAATGTTGATCTTTCACACCGTGTAATTTTTTGTTGCGTATATTTTGTTTGTCTTTCAGGTGTATTTTGAGAGCTACCTGTCCATAGCATCCACAGTTCCAAACGTCTTTGTCTCAGTGCTCAATGTTCTTCTTATTCACAAGTAAGGGTCTTCCTATATATCTGCACAAAGTTATTTGTCGGGCCATTGCATGAGCACACCTTTTAATCACCCCAGGTGACCAGGTTCAGTTTATTTTGAATTACCCTGAGCCAATAAGCTCTTAAATCGGGTTTCATCAACAATAAAACAGCACTGCTTCTCCGACATACACAACAAGTCACAGTAAAATAAATCAATAAACAATAACAGATAAGCGAAATAAAAATAGATTGCAAATCATAATCGCAAAATAAAAATCATCTTTTGTTTTTGAAAATAAAAATTTAGTTAAATTATTAAGAAACAACACGCTTGATCTGAAAAAAATATCAATTTAAATCTTCCATATTAATTGCAATGCTGATCGGCCTAAAACACGATGGCATTATTGTGAGGAATAAAAAAACAGCATCCATTAAAAACTTTGTGTAAACAATGTGCAAAAGTTGTCACTTACAGGCAATTAATATTTGCCTTTGGATCAGAGCCCTGAGCTGGCACCATTTGAGACTTTTAATTCGCATCCAAGCAGCCACATGTGAGTAAACTGGATTCTCAAATTTAGTGAGTTTATGGTTGCAGCTCATAAAACCTAATGCCTTCACAAAAAATGCCATCGTAATTTGTATGTACAGTAAAACCTTGGATTGTGAGTAACTTGGTCTGCGAGTGTTTTGCAAGACGAGCTAAATTTTTTAATAAATATTAATTTGATAAACGAGCGAGGTCTTGCAATACGAGTAGCACGTATACGCTTTGTCTGCCGAGCGTCACGTGATCACAACTGATATACGGGTGCTTTGATATACGAGTGCTTTGGATTACAAACACGTTTCCGGAACGAATTATGCTCGCAATCCAAGGTATTACCGTATGTATGTTGAACTTCTTTTTCAACGTACGTAGCCTACAGTGCTAATCGGTAAAAAATTATTCGGCCGCAGTAAGTTTATTGGCAGGCCGAAGATGACATTTCTGCACGAACAAATGTCTACAATTCTCTTGCAATATTCTTGCATAACATTGCACGGCTGCCCTTCGTGTGAAATGTCCCACTAGCCTTTACCCATGTCCTCTCATGGGTCCAACTTTCACGGTGATCCTGGATTTTTATTGTCACCGGCAAAAATGTTTGCGCTCATTCTTTTGTAATGGAAAAGCATTAGAATGTCACTCGGGAAGTCACATTTGCAAGTTCAGTCACGTTTTATAAATTTTATTGGTAGCTATTAGTAGCCGGACATATAGTGACGAGCCATTACACTGTGTTCCCATCGTCAATTTTAGCTCCCTTGCGCTTTCCACTAATGACAGGGAAGGGAAACACAGACGCAGCAACTACAAATTCTGCAATCGCAACGCCTTTCTGCAGTACAGCGTGAAGTGTAACCATACAAATGGTCGTACGTGGAGGCGTCACCAAAATAAAGTTGTCTGTGCAGCGTTGTCGCAAAATTTGCCGTTTAAGCGCGAATACTGGTTCAATCACACGCTGCCTGACTGATATGTTCATTACACGGACGTCAAGAACGGTTGACTGATAGCGGACTCCGGCTAGTTTACCTGACCTGACGCTGTCATAAATATTCCTTTGCGTAGCTCGTTATTAAATGTAATTTCGTCCAATGGTACGCATCACCATGCTGCAATATCTTTTAGCATGGGATGCAAACGAATGTATGTTACCCCCCCCCACCCCCCCCCGTTGTGCAATGAGACTGGTTATTATCCTGCATAAAAGTGCGACGATTGCAAATTCTTGATTTTCTGAAGGGGAAACCAAGCCACGTGATGTTGTGCCAAGTGGGCTGTTTCCGTTTGGTTGACTCGCGCTGTTTTGTGATTTGAAGGCTGTCAGCAAATGTCCGTGTGCTGTCTTCCCTGGCAACCATGCTGCTCATATTTGCCGTAACGGCCGCCTTGGTCAAGGTACAATCATTCTCAGTCTGCTTCTAAGCACATCCTCTTTTTGAGACGAAGTTCGTTCCTGTTAATTAGGCTTGTGTTCCAATAGGCAATTAATTGTGTCCCACCCCCCCCCCTTGAAAAAAAAGATGAGTCTAAATGGGCTTTCCTCTGGTGATAGATAAAGGATTTAACAAATAGATTTATTCAATGTTTGATTTACCCACTCCCAAGCGGCATGATGAATTGTCAGAAATCAATAAAATATAATTTGTCTTTTTTTCACCCTTTAGTTTGCATTTCATCTCGCTCTCAGTCTCATTTGTAAAGTTTTGTTTGCTCCATTAGACCATATGTAATGCTCGGATACCATTTGCATGTCATTTGCATTAGTCATAAACAATTGCTTCTTCTTGCACTATTTGAAGCATCTATCATGAGATTAATAATTCATTTTAATCAATGAATGGATTATATATACAATTGTATTTTAACACTTCAGAAAAAAACCCTACATATAACATGAAGTGTCAGTATTCCTATGCAATTTATCTCACCTCATGTGAAACTTGTCATCAAATATTGCCAATGAAAGTCATATTGACAGGTGGAATTAAATATAAATGTATTTCGCCGTAGGAGTTCATACACTGCCTGTCTGTAGACACAACATATTGTTGAACGATATTATCTTGCCCCTGATGTCAAGCACGGTCAATCATCAGATTGGTGACTTCTAAAGAAAGACAAAAAATATAAATATAAATCTGGTTTCGGCAGGAAGTCATATCTAAATTTTCCCTTCTGTGTGAAAACTCAATCGGGAAATGAGCAAAACCAAAGTTCTGCTTGTACATTGGATTTTAAAGACCTCTGCAACTGTGGTTTATCCACTGCTGGCTGAAGGGCTCCTTGCACCATTGCCATCCCTCATTGTCTGGAGACGCCACAATCGGTCTCACTCCTGCACATTTAGCGATCTCTTTATTCCATCTCCACGGTGGTCATACTCTCTCGTTTCCCTTAGCTGCCAATCTACGAGCGATGGCAAGAAAATAAAGAAAATAAGGATACACGAGACAGTACAACCAAGGCAAAAATTATATTCTTAAATAGAATTGTCACGCCCCACCCCCATCCCCGAATAGTATCAATTATTAATAAAATCGCTCGGGTGGTGGTGCGTCGATCCATCCCTAATCCACGTGGACTTATATTAAGTTCACCTTCAATTTTACATGTACTAGGTTTCGGTTGCATTGTGTAAATGTAAATGTGTCGTTAAACCCGCCACCACCCGACAGGTCCAATTAGTAAGGTTTGTCACGTAAATAAAACGTGCCAATTAGTTACTACTACAGCACACCAGTGTGTTGGAGAGTAAACCCACAACATTTACTATTTATTTACGTGACAAAACTTAAGAATTGGCTGCGTCGGATGATGGTGGGTTAACGACACATTTATATTTATGCGATCTAACCCTAAAAATACCTCAATCATGATTAAGTTGACCTCGTTCTCAGACATTGACAAAGGGCCCGTGTATCACCCTTTAAGGTGGACACTTCAACATGGCTCTCTGGGTTCTTTGGAGTGACCATGACGTGTGTGGTGGTGGTGAACTCTGCAACGGCCGTGTTTCTGGGCAGCCTATATGGCCTGGCTGCCCTCTTCCCAGCAAAATACCCGCAGGCGTTCATCACAGGTGCGTGTGTGCATGCGTGCGCGTGGCACGGTGGCGAGATGTTAAATACCTCGCGTGGTATACAGGAGGTCGTGGGCTCTATCTCGACCCTAACTCCTGTAGATTTGGAGTCTGCATGTCTCTCTCCCCGTGGTCGCATGGATTTTTCTCCGGGTCCTCCGGTTTTCTTCTCCACATTTAGAATCAATGTCACATGTTTAGAGTATTTGGCTGCTATAAATATCCACGTGATAAGCCACTTCGTTGGGCTATCATTTGTGGCCAGGTTGCTTCTGACAAGAGATCTATTGCTCAATGAGCCTTACCTGGTGAAATAAAATAGTACAGTGGAAAATAGATATTAGGCGCGTAAGGATGCATTGACACATTGATCAAAATCCTTGTTTTGTCTTCTCCCCAAATCTTATACCGTTTGTGCTGATGGTGTCATGGTTACCAGACAGAATCCGTTGAGATTGCTCCCAGAACAGTGCAACCCTACACATGAGAAAAACCTTAACAGGATGCTGTGGCTCTAAGAAGGGACGATGGCCGGTGGTAAAAGGTATAACGGTGGCTCGACAGCCAAAGCAGAAAATTCCTCTGTACGTAAAAACCGAGGAGATGGAGCAATGAAGTCAACCCTTATGCGGGCACTGGGTGGATTGTTTCATCGTAAGATTGTGTGGGTTCATCTTCTTTGGTTCTTTCGGTAAAGTCACGTAGAATGAGAATAAAATAATAAATTGATGAAATAAAATAACACTAATATTCTCCTGACGTTTCGGCCACAACACAAGCGGCCTTCATCAGGTGAAGGGACGAGACTGATGTGGCTTTTTCACTCCAGCGCTGTCCTCCAGACAGTCTCGTCCCTTCACCTGATGAAGGCCGCTTGTGTTGTGGCCGAAACGTCGTGAGAATATTATTGTGTTATTTTATTTTATCAATTTATTTTTTTATTCTCATTCTACGTGACTTTACCTAAAGAACCAAAGAAGATGAATCCTTGCAGTCACGAAAGCTTTAAATCGAAATTTATTGTGTGGGTTGGCGATGACTTGGGGAAGACCTTCGTACAGCGGTGGATTGAGCATGGCTGATGTGATTATGATAGAAGTTGATTTACTGTGCGTAGTGTATGGCACCTGTATTTGCATTCAAGCAATGAAGCTAATTTTAACACCCCTAAGCATTAGTGCTAATGAGAATGAATTCCAAATATATATGTTAATTTGCACATAATTAGCTCATCAATACAGCACTTTCAGCCCAGAGCACAGCTGGACGTTTGTCTCCCCAAGACCTATTTATCTATTTCAGCCGAATAGTCTCTGAATAATCTCATAGTGAGCACGACCAGCCATTGAACGAACCAGTTTGGTGAGAGGTAGGTAGTTTACATTTACACGGCCTCGCATCAATGTCGAAAAGGAATTTGCGAAAGTGCTGTCGGTGAATGCCGTCGCACAGCCAAGTGACGAGAGCTGTTCACTGGCTAACCAACCTCGACTTGGACGTATCAACTCTGCTGAGCAACTCCCCCCACCTTATGGGAAAAAGACAAAGGTAACATACGCTTTGGTTCTTTCGGTAAAGTCACGTCGGTGAAAAATAAAACTAAAAAATAAAACTTTTTTTTTTTGCCGTGATTGTTCCCACCTGATGACGGACACTTGTATTGCATCCGAGACGTCGTGATTTTACTTACTTTTTTCTTTCACCTACGTGACTTTACCGAAAGAACCAAAGAGTACGGATCCTTGCAGTCACGAAAACTTCAAATCTAGAAAGGTAACGTAGACGGTAAAGACCCCGAGAGATCATTTACATCACAAGTCGGGCCATTGTGCGCTAATGTCACGACCAAATTTAAATATTGAGCCATGATGCGATTGCTGTTTGGAAGCCTCCCTACCACACTATTCCTTATGGTCCTGCGATATTACGAACCATCTCGCTCCTGCACATGAGCTACACTCCATCTTCGCGGTGGTCGTGCTTTTGAGCGATTTTTTTTTTCCCTTCCGGCTGTCGTTCCACCAAACCCGTCTTTCGTCCACTGTTAGTCAGCCCTCTGAACCATGTTAGTTTATGCCGACCAAACTTATGTTTGTTAACGGTCAATTTAAACATTACAGGCAAATAATTGAAACATATATTAATCGGAATATGATGATTATAATCGCTGAACAGTGATTCTTACGCTTCACGATCATCAAATCTGTAAACGACGCGAAAACCTGTTGTAACAAAATACGATAAGAATCGATCACGATGCATGCAAATTATTTGTGAGCTAGAAGCTACAAATGAGACGGAACAAACGAGAAACAATACAAAGGAGACGGTAAAAAGAAAAGAGGCACAAATAATTGAATTGTAACTAATGGGGGACGGGGTGTGAATTATTGAATGCATTAGAACAATTCATCCCCATCTCCCTCCATCCCCCCCACCGCCCAGCCAGTCAATTTCCAGGATCATGATTCGATTTAATTAAATAATCGATTTTTTTTTTTACATTTTTGTTTGACGGTAGCATCGGTAATGATCAATCCCTGCACGTGCGTTTCATGCATGTTTGGTGAACTTAAGAATCAATGTTATTTTGACGAGTCAAGATAATTATTCCACCCTTACCTAACATAACAGTAACTGCCCAATTTCGCTTGCAAAAGAAGGTAGGCTGGCGATGCTTCCTCGTGGTGTTAAAATGTAGAGCAATGATTTGAACAGAAGCCGACCCTGCTGCCCAGCCATAAATTACAAGGAAGCGTCTTGTGGTGATTAACGGAGGCTGAGAGCAAATGCTGCCTTCGCCAAGTCTTTGCAAACCTACCTTGGCAAGGTCGTTACGACATCCATGGGAGTGAGACCCCACGGTGAGAGAGTACAGGCATATCCATGCCTCATGCTCTGTGGTTCTTTCGGTAAAGTCACGTAGGTAGAAAAAGAAAACAATAAAAAATAATATATCACGACGTTTCGGTCGCAACACAAGCGGTCGTCCTCGGGCGGAAAAAATAATCCAGCAGTGGAACTGCTGAGCCAGCGAGAGAGCTGTTACAACACGAGGTTAATTCTAGATTTAAAGCTTTCGTGACTGCAAGGATCCATACTCTTTGGTTCTATTCGGTAAAGTCACGTGGGTAAAAAATAAAACAACAAAAATCACGACGTTTCGGCCACAACACAAGCGGCCTTCATCAGGTCCCTTCACCTGATGAAGGCCGCTTGTGTTGTGGCCGAAACGTCGTGATTTTTATTGTTTTATTTTTTACCTACGTGACTTTACCGAATAGAACCAAAGAGAACAAGAGGTTATATATGTGGTGATGAGAAAGCAAGCGGGGTCTGAGCTACGTGACTTTACCGAAAGAACCTGCAGTCACGAAAGCTTCAAATCAAGATATCCATGCCTCCTACTCCAGGGAAGTCCAGCACGGATGAAGTGGCACAGCTTTATTTTCCACCTGGAAGCTAGTTCAATCGATCCGGCCCGCTGCTTTCAAACCATGGGCACGTCGTGTGTTTTTTTTACTCGGCCCTTCCTGTTTAAGTGTTTTTCATCGGAGTTCCATGTAATGAATCGTCCACATGCTGATGAACGCTGGGTTTTTTTTTCTTTCGAAGATCGAATCTCATTCTTGCGCGTGTTTTGGCAGCTGTGGCCGTGTAACTCTCCGATGTTGTTTTCGGGTTGCATCGCGTGTTGTTCGCTATGATTTCGCGACATTTCATGCCAGATTGCTGGGAGCTTCTACAGGAACTTTTTTATTTGCCCCATACAACCTTACTTTAATATTTATTATCTTTCAGATGTAAAGCTGAGACTGGTACGGTCTGTATCGCCAAGTTTTAGCAGTGAGAAGTAGCGGTCTTTTATTTTTTTCTCCCCGCCATATGTGGTTAGCCTGGTCTGCTCCCACACACAGTGGTACTCGTTAAAAAATTGATCGGCTAGACACCCCAATGCAAGACCCTCCACAAAAAAAAGCCTTGAGACTCAGGTGTTTCCACACAAATTAATACTTTGTACATGTACAGCTGCTTTTGTCCGGCCACTACTGGATGCACCCCCCCCCCCCACCACCACACTGCATGGGGGTTGTATGTCCCAACTTTACCATGCTAATAAGTGGGGCCTGGTAAAAGCTGGAACCACAGGATGAGAGAATACTGTGGAACAACAATTGAATTTGCCACACTGCCGTCTGCTGCCCGCAATGTTGCCTTGTAGCAGCCGATAGCAACCTGCGTTATGATGCATGCTGGTCGCACGGACTGTACAGATTCAACCTTGCTTCCACAGTTTTGCAATATTAGGCGAGTTGAAAGTGATTCAATAAAAAAAACCTGTTACTGCATTATGAGAAGTCAGCTCATGAATGTATTGTGTAATTCCCCATACCACAAGGCAAGTTCCCAGTGGATTTGAGCATTACCCCATGCAAATTTGACTCGATAATGGCCCTATGGGAAAGCAAAGTACATTATTATTATTAAGAACATGATTACATGGCTGTATAAAGTGACCCCTGCCATATAGGAATGTGGAATTTCAATAACTGGCTGAGACCCGCCAATGTAGATGAGCACTGGCCACACTATTTTGAGACACGGGGAAGGCTTCCATAGAAAAGTAAAGGACACTGCTATTATGTTATTATAATAATAACAACGCTGCCCTGCAAAACGGGCGAAATGCTGATGCAATTAACTCGCACCACAGGACAGGCAATGGGAGGCACACTAAGCGTCCTGGCTTCCATAGTAGACATCGCGGCCGCGGGAGACGTGACAGACAGCGCCTTGGCCTACTTTCTCACGGCGGACATTTACGTGCTGGTGTGCATCGTCATCTACCTGCGGCTGTGCAAGTTGCCGTTTGCCAGGTGCGTCCCTTCCGCACGCACAACAGACACAAAGATCCCCCCGTACAGCCTTAATGGACTGTTGGGGCAAGTGCTGTTCGCAAACGCCTAATTAAAGCCGGCACGACACACAAAGGGTGTGGGTAACCAGCACAATGCCCGGCCGCCTTTGTCTCCCCAGTGGTGATCTTTATACAACGCAGCAGGTACTCATTTTATGCCGAGTCGACCTAGGGGAGGCCCAAGACTAGTGCGGGGAATCGTGCTCGGGTCACCGGGTTGGTAACATAGCGCGCTAACCGCTACGCTACCACTCCCCGCACACTTTTTACAATACCACCACCATACACACACATGCGATTGTACCGGGATAATTGGCGGGATACACGTTCATAAACCAAGACCAATTGGCACTCGAATTTAAGCTATCGACACATTACAAGGATGTCAAACAGTCCGCCTCCTGTCTCTGGGCTGCGAAGTGGTCCATCGCCCTGATTTCTGCATGAGCTGCTTGCAAAATATTACAGCTTAAAGCGCGAAAACATGAAATCACTTTGAATGCGTACATTTTTTAAACTTGCAAATATGACCGTTGGCTGCAAGACGAACCTCTTTTAAGCCACATGACATCGAGCCCTTGATGAGTCCTGCAAGTTCGAACACCACGGTGGTGTGTGGATATCACGGGGCATGTCTCGAGTTGGATATCACCTAGCACAAAAAAAAGTCACTTCTTTACACACCAAAGAAAGTTAGGGGATGCTTTTTTTGCATTAGTATTGATTGCCTCATGATCTCCCATGTTTTTGGAGGAATTTAATTTGCATTACGGAAACCCATGAGTATACGTGCCTGGGCAAGATGCCTCTTCGTATCTTCAAAGTAATTTTTTGCTCTGGTTTTAACGTGCAAGTTATGGGCTACCCTTTCATCAGTTTGGTCGGTTTTCTGTTGCGCAAGGGCCCAATAGCAACAGAGCTTTGTAACTGAAGTTTTGTTCGTATTGGAATTATCATGGCCCTGTGTTGCAGACCAATAGACATATGGACATACAGAACTAATGCATCAACGCTTTGAATCTTCATTGCAACACGTAACAAAAAATCGTTTCCTCCATTTCTTCGGCAACCTGTTCCCCACCCATGTCCCCAATTAGGTACCACATCAGTTACGAAGCCCCTCCGTCAATTAATTACGACGCGCGGGACGCGGCAAGCGTGCAGTCCGACTCGGACGAGCCCTACCCGGCAGACACGGATGTCCTGATGGCACCCGCCTACACACACGCCCCAAGACAGCAAGAGCAGCACCAGCAGCAGCGATCCTTCCCGCCGGTGCGGGCGATTCTGCGCGAGACGCGCTGGCTGTGCCTCTGCGTGTTCTTCTGCTTCTACGTCTCCATGATCCTTTTCCCGCCCGTGCTGGCCAATATCGTGCCGACGTCCGTCTCGCCCGAGAGCGTGTGGGCCAAGAAATATTTCGTGCCCGTCGCCATCTTCCTGGTGTACAACTTGGGGGACCTGGTGGGCAGGGTGACGGCCGGGTGGCTGCGATGGCCGGCGCCCGAAAGCTGGCTCATGCCGGCGCTCGTCTTCCTCCGCACGGCGTTTCTGCCGCTCTTTGCCTTCTGCAACTACCAGCCCCGCCGCCACACGTCCACCCTGCTGCTTGCCAACGACGCCGTCCCAGTGGTGCTCACCGCTCTGCTGGGGGTTACCAACGGGCACCTGGGCAGCACGGCGCTCACCTTCGCGCCAAGGGTGGTGCCGGCGGAAATGGCAGAGGCCACGGGGGCTGTCATGACGTTCTTCCTGTCCCTGGGCCTCGCCGCCGGGGCTCTGAGCTCCAACATTTTCATGAGGTTCATCTGAAGTGTAAGGCACGGACAGGTTCGGGGAGAGATGTCAGAGATGGGAACGGATGTCAGGGATGGGAGGGACGGGAGGGAGGGATGTGAGCTGCTTATGCGGCAATGGTGTAGTGTGTTTTTGTGCGTGGGTGGTTTTATGATGTTTTTAGATATGAACCTGAGTGCACTAGGTACGTTGATAAAGGCCTTTTCTTGTTTACTTCATCTAATATTTGAACCTGATTTTCCTTTTTCTTAAATTACAAAAATGCCTTAACTGAACGCTAAAATTCAATTTTGAATTCGTAACTTGCACTCCGACCTCAATCTAATAGGGCGAGAACACACTGTGTATAATTTTAAAATGTTAGCCGCATTTAAAATATTTGCTTGTAAAAATATATATATAAGTTGCTACAAAACTTATAATTCCATTTTAAAAGTCATCAATGGTAAATATCACTGCGCAAATGGTGTACTCTGTGTAATTAGGAACATGCCCTCTGTGATAATCATGGAGGGAGTGTTGGTGTAGTAGGTTAGCACATTGTGACTTGAATTCTGTTCCTGGCCACAGCTAACGTCAGTGGCAAGTGATATCTGGAACCAGCCTTGGGCACCCCACTTTCACCAGCCTGCGCTGACCAGTGTGACGAAGTATGGTTAAACACAAAAAAAACCCCGTGACTGAAACAGCATGGGGAGTGGGCCTTCATCCAGCAATTCATGAACAAACAGCTCTTAAATGACTTTTGTATGTATGTCGAACTTCTTTCGCACCATACATAGCCAACGGCACTATCGAAGGTGCGAGGGAACGACGACAAACATCGTGTCCCCGTATAGTAACCAGCCGCCTGCGCTCCTTCAACGAGGGAGGGATGGCAAAACTATACCAACCCTCTCCCGAAGCCTTCTTCTCGTGGCCGGCAGACCTCGCCGACTGGCATTTAGCGCCCTGAAGATATTGCCATGCGCAAGAACGCATCTGTTGCGGTACGTTCCTTTCAAATTAAGTGGCATGCGTACCGAGTGCGATGGATGCAAGCCATCGTTTCCGCGGAGTTGAAGCCAATACGCGGGCCCTGAGATTGAGGTCGGGAATGTGTAAAACAAAGGAGGCGTTGATAATTGGTTTTTTTTTACCCTTTTCATCTGGCAACAAAACTGACAGCTTTTTTTTTTTTTACAAGGAGTCATGTTTGCATTGACCACAATACCTGCGGTTGGAATGCAAAGAAAAAAACATAACTTTGATAATGTATTGGCACTGTCCTGGAAATTGATTGGTCCACACCCCGAGACAGCTTTCCTTAGAGGCCTAGTCTCACATGGTGTTGGACCAGATGACGCATTCCGACCGCAGGTATTGTGGTCAATGCAAACATGACTCCTTGTAAAAAAAGGTGTCAGTTTTGTTGCCAGATTAAAAGGGTAAAAAAACATCATATTTTGCTACTGGCAAAGGAGGTTCCAATCGTGTAAAGGAGGCGTTTTTATAACTTTTTTTTATCGAATCGAGAGTCACATCCGAAGCTAGATTGCCTGCACAAGTGCGACGCTTTGAAAGGGAAGGGGCGCTCGCGCGTCGCTAATAAGGGACCTCGTCACAATCCATGGTCGAAAACGTTTGGGCACTCAATTTATGGGTTGAACAAAAAGGTCAGCATTTCAGCTGAGAAGTTTATAACTGCCGGAGACATATGCATAAGGCCCCGAGAGATAGCCAGGCTTTTACCTCTACGAGGAGGTCTGCACTTTAATGACCCTCGTTCCATGTTCTGTGTCCCAACTGAAGTCTCGCCGACGTGCGTTTACCTTCTGCGGATGAGTTTGAGATTACGTTTTTTTTTCTTTCCCTATATCTGATTTCCGTGCAGTAAAACCTCTCGAAGCCAGACAAATTGGGGAGAGACTTTCTGGCTCCGTGGATGTATCCGTTGTAGTGCAATTATTCCGTGCATCCATGCGCAATCATTAATAACAGCTTCATGTTATTAATCAACTAACATGTAATTAATATGTTGTAAGGTAATAAACATTTTAAATTTAAGATTTACTGTTTAATAACACTTCAAATCATCGCAACGTGTACATGCGCCTGAGGCAGAAGGTTGATTCCCAAACCCAAGAAACAGATGGTTATTGCCTTGGGCTTGAAAAATCGTAGAATTTTTTTTGTCAAATGTGAAATAAATATTACCATGAGGAAAGAGAGAGTGAGGAAAAAGCCCTCACAAAGCTTGTAGATAAGCACGGTGTTCATTAGCATGGGTTCCCCCAATTCCACACAACGTATAAATGCATGCCTTATAAAGCTTGTGAATTGCATGGGTGTTATATGTATGCGCTGTGATGGTCAGTGATGGCATGTTTCACTTCCCAGTCTGAGGAACCACATCTAAAATGTCCTGCGCAGGATTAGCCTCACGTTTTGCTCATCATGCCGTGTGCGGCTTAATTAGTGCATGAACAGGTTGTAATTTTGTTGGCGACTATTTATGAGATATATTTTCTTTCTGTAGCTTTCTCCGAATTCTGGCTTACCCAAATCCGGCTTTGTGAGGATGTATTGTGTTCTCAGATGACAGGTTTTTAAAATATTTAAATAACGATCACTGTATATGCGGAAATGTAACCATTTCAGTAAATGCTAAAATACGGTTCTACAACGTAACTTTTTTTTTTGCAAGTTAATATTTAACCAGAACAACTCCCCTTCCTTCCCCAATTAGTTCAGCTTCGAGAGCTTTTACTGCGCGTTAAAACTGTCACTTCATTTCAGTATTTAAAAATGTGGAATTGTTAACCATCATTTTTACCTAAACATTTCCATAACGAAAGCAAGATAGAAGTCACAGGATCATCAAAATGACATCACATGACGGCATATAAGTTCTTTAACACAAGTCGTGTCACTTGCTGGTGTTATGTCCCATTCAAGATGAGTTTTTCAGATGTTTGTTTTTATCTACGTCTGGTTTTACAGAATGTTTTAAAAAAATCAGAACACATCCACACCCATAATACATTACCTATAAGGGACCCATAGACTTGAAAAAGTAGGTACTTAAAAACAATGCCGTTGAAATAACTAGGAATGTAATGATTATTATTCATAGCTTAAATATAGATTCTTTAAGCACACGGTGTATGCATTCTATTTATTGTTTTCTGGTTTGTGTGTGTAATTGGGTCACGTTAATGCAGCCACTACAGGTGCTACACTCACCACTATTACTCCATTCGCAATGTATGGTCAGGCTGCACTCTTCTCAGATCAGAACCCGCAGACTTCCATCACAGCTCCATGCCTTTGTGTGGATTAGGTAATTGAGGGTGCCTCGATTCTCAAATAAAATCCATTATTTTTTGGGTTTCTCTCCCCCAATTTATATTTCCAATTGTCCTATCGGTGCTGTGGAACGAGACGAAGAACACGCTATGATATCTTGGAGCGTGTTGGAAAACGGTCCACGTAAGTGGACACCAGAGAGCTACCTCTGGGATCCCTTCAAGTGAACTTTGGTCTTTGCACGGCAGAAGGCAGCACTCTCACCCGCTCTACATGCGAGAGCAATGTCTGTCACATAACGGTCAAATCCAATGTTTTGATTCGCATCAGGAATTTAACAAGATTAAGTTAAAAGCTAAAAAAAAACCGGTAAAACTTGAAGGCTTAAAAAGAGTCAACTATTTTAATTTTAGCAGGTAAGGCCTGCTTTGCTATATAGCTTTTTTTCAGAAGCGACCTGACCGCAAATGATAGCTCAATGAAGTGGCCAAATACTCTTAAACGCGTGTTTCTAAACGTGGAGGGGGATAAACCGGAGGACCCACAACCACGGGGAGAACGCGCACACTTCAAATATACAAGCGCTCGGGGTCGGAATCAAATCCACGACCTCCAGCATACCTGGCGAGGTATTTAACATCTCGCCACCGTGGTGCCCAATGTAACATGTTTTGGGTGTGCAGTCATTGGTGACCGCGCTAAGACCATCAACCCTCTCCACTCGAGAACCCTGTTTAATTACAGGATTGAATCCCAGCTTCTCTGCGGTGCCAGCACAACGCTCTGACCTCAGAGCCAGCCGACCACCTTTGCATGCTTTTTTTAATTGCCTGATTATTAATTGCCAATCATCCGTGCTACCTTTGACTTTTATTTTTTTACAGCGGAGGAACTTGACGTACAGTGGAAAACCGTTCAAAGGGAAGGAGAAAAAAAAATCGAATCGCTGCACAAAAAAATGGAAAGTTTCCAAATATTTTGTTTAGAAATACTTTGATTTTTTACAAATGTGTATTGGTGTGAATTGAAGGCGTAACGTTTTCAGGATAATGCAAAAAAAGAATCTAAATCGCACGCTACATGGGAGAATATTGAAGTCCCGATTTTGCCAAATACTACTCTAATGGTTGTATAAAAACTCATGTATATACGTTGTAAAGCATTTGTAATTAAACCTTTGTGTCTAATTTTAATGTGTGGAATGAACGGAAGGCTGTATCATTTCTGAATTAATCCAATGAAAGTATCCCATGTCGCAATATTAGCCGACTTCAGTGGTTTATCTCAGCAAGTGACGGAAACTCCACATTCCCATGATAATGCTCGGTCTTTGTTTAGCACCACCAAATATTTAGTTTCTGCCACATAGTGTCTAGCTGGTGGTGCTTTATCACGAAGGTGATAGTGCGTGCTGCTCGCCATATAGGGTCGAAGCTCAGGATGCCATCGACCAAATCGCCGTTGATCACACCGAGCCAGCCGCTCGCAAACCTTTCGCCAGATCCCGCAGCTGCTGCACAGAAGAGACGCGACCTCTTCAATATTTGAATTTCACGGTCATCCCACCATCTGGAGAGTGTGACGCGTTATTACGGAGGCGTAGCTTTGTGCATTTGGTGTTCAGCCCGCTCGTCGCCACTTGTTTCGAGGCCATCTCGCGCCTGCACACGTGATCGTGTTGAGGTTAAAGAATTCCCAACCATCGTCCTTCGGTTCGTGGTTTTGTCCACGTGTTTGCATTGAACTTTGTTTTTTTGTTTCGCACGCGTTTGTCTCTTATTTTCTTTTTATATTTTGTACAAAGGAAATGTTCAGAATGTGTACTGTTTGCACGTTACTCTGAAAGGGTTTCTTTTTTTTTTCCTTTAAAGACTAGTGGTGAGAATGCGTTTGACATGTCGCATTGCTCGGGATAGAGGTGCACAGAGCGATGTTCTATACCAAGCCACACGTGTCTTTCACTCTGCGCCTCGCAGGAACAAAGGGAAAACCACGATGCTATCATGTGAGGTCA